CTGTCACTTATTAATACCGACATGTTGGCTTCTCTTAATGCTTGTGGTAGCTGCTTTGGTCTAGGTTGTGTGCTACACTCGTACTTTATACAGTCTGTGTCTGTTTTGTTATTCCCCATGAGTTATGTAATCTGCATGTGACGCCTTGTAGTGTTTTACAATGTAACGCTTTCAGCTTTGACAGAAGGAAAATAAAGACTTATCTACCATCACCATGGTCGCATTTTGACTTTACTGCCCTAACATGACGTTGAATATATTTTCACAATCCAGCTTCACCGAAGCAATGAAGAGTGATTATAAGCAGACAATGCAATTACAGAAAAAAACGTGTCCGCTCTTCTGTAAAGTAGTTCGCTCTTCTGAGTGATAAAACCACATACGGAGCCTCCCTTTCCGGTAAATGGGAAATAAAGCAGCAAACTCGCTCTGCTCTCAGTGCACCGAAATTATTAATCACTTTAACCAAACAGATATTGAATTGCCACTTTCGTTTGCATCGTCATCATCTCAAATGGCCACTTCCAATTCTGCTTTACTTTCCTGTTCCTGTTCCTATTCCTGCACCCACACTATCACGAACCTCCTGGTTGGTGTCTTATTTGAGAAACCAATGAAAAAACTTAAATGGTTGAATGTTTGCTCCACTGGCACACCACAGTCTGCTGCGGAATAAGGCTGTAATGTTTTCTGGTAACGTCACTGACGGAAAACAAGATACATTCAGTCATTCAAAACACGTTCTCATGGTTTAAAGATCAAAGACGTTTTATTTGGTAAAAGCAACGGCAAGACATAGAAGCTGTCAGTTTATTTACAGATACAAACAACCCCCAAAGCTCCATTTAAGTTCACAAAAATGAGATCTGACCATCATCAGCACCATAAAGGCACAAGGCTTTTATCTCACTGGACCACAACATTTAAAGGTCAAATTTCCAAAACTCACTCAGTCCACAGCATCTGTTTTCGACAAGAATTCTCTGGACTTAGTTAATTTTAGTAAGTTAACAAAAGATCTTTACTGGGTTACTTAACAGAGGGAGTTTTGGTCCCCAGTATTGTAATATATAATGAGGAAGCCTGACTTTAGGTCATTTGAAGTCTCATCTCAAAAACTGCAAAAAAGTGGACTGAGTTTTGGAAATTTGCTCTTCATTTGGGGCCCAAGGTGAAGCAGCAGATCATTAAACACAGATGTCAAAAACACCTCTTCCCTCTTCCTCTGTTTGTTAATCTCACTCTCGGTCTCTCTGTAGCCCACGAGGGAATCTCCCCAGCACCTGCCGAAACCTGCTCCTCTATTCTCGGAGCCCGTGGGTCACACTAACCGTAGCCATGCAAACATCAGTCACGGCTGTGTGAACCCCCCTCCTCTCAAAGATTCACTGCCCAGAAATGAGCCATGGTTTACACTACTTTGCATACCCTGAAAATATGGGGGGGCTTTTAACAGCTTTGGTAGGTCTGCTGGGTGGTGTTTGAATTTGAAAGCTGCACCAGATGTGTTCCACTGTTGTAGCACACTTTGCATATCGCTGGAAACCGATTTTTTTCATTATTATTAATAACCATATTAGTAATTACTAAGCTATCTGTTCAACGGCACTTTTGACCAACCAACACAGCTGGGAAGCATTCTGGACCAGTTCAGCTTAAGTTCACCATTCGCTGGGCCTATATTTCAGTTTGATTGCACAGAGACCTTTGGCATGTCATGCAGGGACAGGCTGGTTGCAAGATGCGCGGCTTCACTCTCGGGCAAAAATGTACGACAAGAAAAACAGAGAGTGGAACAACAAGGGTAGAGAAATATGGCACACATGCATCAACTGAATTTATTGAATTGAAACATTATTCGGCATTTGCACAGATAAAAGTACAAGTACATTGGAATTCTTGCATGCTTCATTCGGTTAAAATTTGAAAAACAACAAACAAGACTATACAAATTTTACTATAAACATTAACGTATGTAATAGATATAAAAAATAAAAAAAAACAGAAAAGCAAAGATGCTTGAATGTCAGAAATAGTTGGACCAGGATTTTAAAGGCGGAGCGAAGTCTGCAGAAGCCATGAAGTGCAAAACAAATGAACAAATCAGAAAAGCGGCAATTCAGCACAACAGCCAATCAGAATACAGAACGGCAGCAGCCACTCGGAGGTCTCGTAGTTGTTCGAATTCCCGTGTTAATGTTAAATACATGTATGATCGGAAGATCCTGATGAACGCCGTAACACAGTTTATCACTGGCAAAATAATTGCACCGCGCCTAAGCTCGTTTTTGTAAAACCTGAGTGCTGTGGGTTTGTCGGACTAGAAGCCCTCAACCTGATTGCTGGCAGGAAGAAGCTCTTGTGAAAATGTGCCCTGAGTGTGATAGTGCACTCACGTGGGACGGTGTGTGGCTCTGTGGGCTAAGCTTCTGTGCGTATATTTATCCTGCTGTGCTGGGTAAACAGCCTGACCCTGTGCTCATCTCTGCGTTTGTCCTAAACTGTGTATATATGTCTCAAAACAGGGAGCAAGATACGATATGAGAAAAGAAACTAATGCGAATGGCAAATAAAGGGTCATTTCACATTGGTATCTGAGGTTATACCCAGCCCCCTGCCACCTGAACAGTGAGTGTCCTGAATGATGAGGGGGGGCTCTAATAAAAGATTAAAATGCTACCAGATGGCTCAATAGACTGGAAGCTGAAATCTTCACCAGAAAGGTCTTACTTATTTTACCGGAAATCTATTTTACAGGAAATGCTGCATCCTGAAACGTGGCTTCGCCACTTGGGACGTGCACAACGTGCCGCACAATCACACAATCACACAATCAATTTGATGGCCCTGCTCATTTGGGTCTCAAAATTGAATCTTGCGATACTGGGATCAATTGAGGAGCACCGTATCAAATTTGAAGTTGATAATTACAAAAATATTCCAAAAAATGTTTCCTTTCTTTTTCTGGAGTATCCCAAAGCTGGTTATGTAGTTACGGTATGTCAGTACCACACACACTGCTGTTGGCTTCAGCATGGACACTCTGGTGTTGCCAATGTAACTAACCATCCCATTTATCCCATAGTGGGGCCCTGATGTTTGTCTATGCTATTGCCTAGAATACAGTATCAGTCAAAAGTTTGGACACGCCAAGCCGCTTTTCAGGACAGCTGGAAAAGCATCCCAGGAGGCCACCTCATGGAACTAGCATAGCGGAGACAGTAAGGTCAGCCAGTCCCTGGAGGAATTGGGGTTAAGGGCCTTACTCAAGGGCTCAATGGTGGGATCACTCTGCCGACCCAGGGATTTGAACCGGCAACCTTCTGAGTCCCAACCCATATAACTGCCCCCCCCAACAAATATATATTTTTTTGTTTAATACTTAATTGGTCAGTGCATAATTCCATATACATTATTTTATAGATTTGATGTATTTATAATTATTGTAAAATGTAGAGAATAGTACACACAGACCTTTCTATTGGTGGGTGTGTCTAAACTTTGACTGTAGCTTTTGTGTTATTCTACCTTTACCTTGGTTGTCAGTGATCCATTCTGCATCTTTGTATTATCATACAAAATGAGAACCTCCACTGAAATGACTCATTGTTACAAATAACACCAGTAAACCAAACTGGTCGTTCCGGCTCTCAGCACTCTGAACTCAAAACATCTTGCCGGGCCTTTTGCGAAGAGCCTCGATTGTCGGGTTTTTGGGGAAGATTCTTGCTTGGGAGGCAGACAATGAACACCTGCAGGCTTCAGGATGGTCTGGACTTTCTTTGAAACCAGTTTTTTTTTTTTTTCAATCCCAATCCATATAAAACATTAATCGCCTGAGGGCATGGGGAAAATTCCTCCTCGGATGGTGTGAACCTCAGACATAATACATACAGCGCTGGACTTATTTCAAGAACAAGCACAAACAAGTACTGAGGAAACTGTGGAAATTACAGCTCTCCGGGGGCGTACCCGCAAGCATGTACCTAACACAGTACAAGTATAGTGATTGGCATGGTCTCCCAGGGTATCTCCAAATCGCCCTTAGCAGCTGTGTGTGTCATTGCCTGTGTCCGTCTGGCTTCTGACCTGGGCTTCCGAGGCTAAACTGCAGGCTCTCCATGACCTTGTACTGGATAAAAAGTGCTGGAATAGCTCTTTTTATAAAGGGAAGTACAACCATTGAGCTATTTGATTTTATTAGCCTTAAAAAATAAGTGTTTCCCATGAGATGGCGGCCTTTTGGATGCATGCCTTTCAATGTAGCCTAAGCCGATATTTAGCGGAATAGAGAAAATTTATTAAAGCCATGTGGGGATATTGTCTTCTCCCCTGTCCCATCTTGCCGTCCAAAAGCTACGTATACAGGCGACACAGGAGCTAAGTGCCGGGGCCGAATAGCAGCATCAGACTGGGATTTGAAACAACAACCTTCTGGTCGTGAGAACAGAGTCCCAACCTGCTGGACCACCACACCGTCCAAATCAGCCAAGACTGATCACTGTGAACTGATTACACAACAGCCTGCACAAAGCCCTCGCTCAGGACTCCTGGTCCACACCGCTCTCTCTCTCTCTCTCTCTCTCTCTCTCTCTCTTTTCCCTCTGTGTTGTTCCACTTTTCCATCTTACGACAAGGAGTGATGTGAGGATTTCAAACATTTCAAAAGGCATGACAGGAAACAGAGGAGAGGGTGAGATGCGGGACGACTGACACGAGAGGAAAGAAAGAGACTCGCCGACAGGAAGCAATAAAACAAGACAAGTAAGCGGGACATCTGTGCTCTGTGGTGAGTGCACCTCTGCGTTTATCATGACGTGTTTTAAAAGTTTCATGCCTATCTGCAGCTACAAGAAATGCGTATTCATGAAAGGCACATTAAACTGTTGAGCTTCGCACAATAAGCAAGACTTTGTGTCACTTTTCCAAGTGGCAAGGCTTGGAAATAGTCCCGGTTCTCCGGGATCTTTTCGAAGAAGGCATTACTGGTTCTGGCATTAATTTGCATTCAGCTAAAATAGCTGAAGAACTCTATGCTAGCAGCAGCTGAGAAACGAAAGTATACGAGAATCAGTCATGTGGCGTTTTACGGTTACAGCTGGAATTTTACAGACCACAATAGCCAAGCCTGAAACATATAAAAGGAACAGCTGAAAATTCCTCCCGATGACATGAATAGAAATTCGCTTGGCACCGATCGTTGTCCAATCATTGTGGCCCCGGCCGCAAGAAGGAATCTAAAAGATGCACATATAATTATATTCAAGATTTTTTTTCTGCGACGTGCTCAGTTATGCTGGTACATCTTACAAATCTGGCTTGCTCCTGAGACTGCACAGAAGAGAATTAAGATCAATAAAGGTTAAATTAAATTAAACAAATTAAGTTGGGGGGAGGGGGTAGCC